AAATAAAACATATTTTTCTATTCTTATTCTACCTAGATCAGTAGATTCTTATGATGGTGTACTATGGATATTTTTATCCTTTTCTTAACTATGGAATATTTTTTGGGGCAATTCTGACAAAAGGAAACATGTATTAAAATTGCAAAAACGAATCATTGGGATAATTTATTCCCTCAAAACTAGAGATGTATTTAAAGATATATTTAAAATTAACAAAATTCTGAATTTTCCTAGCATGTACATCTATAATGTACTAAATTTATGAAACAAAATATCTCTAAGTGTTCTGATAGTTCAGACAACCACAATTATTAAGCCAGACACAAAGACTACCTCGCATTTCCCAAACACATTATTCTACTTTTGAATTTTCGCCCAACTACTGTGGTATTGCATTTTATAATAACCGGCCTGATTCCATTAGGTCTGCACCTTCCCTCAGATCGTTTTAAAAATTATTTGAGTTTTTATGTAACAAATGCTGCTATATGTCAACGACTTTTTCCATTGACTGTTGTATTGTTTATATTAATAGTTTTATGTTTATATTCTTGATACTAGCGAGACTATTCATCTATATTTTGTACAAAATGAATACAGGATGATTTTATTTTTATTTTTTACAAGATATGGGCAACCCGAGAGCCTAAAATCGGTTAAGTTCATCAAAGCCTTTGAGCTTGAAAAGATTATCCAAAGAAAGTGTTATGTATATCATTAGTCAATGGTTTTCTGACTATGTGATTATCGTTTCTCTGTTCACCTGATGTTTCAAAGGTGGCTAAATAAAAGAATGTGTACTTAGTTTGTTCAAAAACCGTTTCACCTTTCAAGAAAATAACGACCAGTAAAGTAGATAAATTCGTGATACGTCTACATTTTAGTAGGTCGATGTGAGTTATTATGTAAATTTGTGTGTTAGGACTCGTAAACCTCACAAATTAACAAATTCCTCGAGCCTTTAAAAGGAACTGTTACTAAACAAGCAAACCAGTTCTAGTGCTTACGAGAAAGATTTAGATTTTTCTATTAGCTTTAGGATACCTTCTGTGCAGCTAAGTCCTTACGTATCAAATTGAAATTATCTTAATAAGATTATAATAATTTCTATCAAAAACTAAGGCATTACTTATACAGGGTTTTGGATTTTATGATCTCTAAGAATCAATTGACTATTTATTCATCCATTTGACACGTGTAGGCCTACTCCTTCCCCCTTTTTAACAATATATATACTCATATTGAATTAAAAATATGATCTATACCCCTTTAAATTAGCTATGAGGTAATATACTAAAATAAAATTATACTTGCATAATTATGCACTGTTAAATATTCTCAATTACTGCTATTGTAAATATGTCTCATTCATAGGGGCCCCTCTTTGAAAATTCCTGATGTTGTTTGTATTTTTTAGTACTTAGATAATAACCAATTTAGATAGCGTTTGGTTGTTCGTTTTTTTTCTGCAGACTGTACGGGATAAAACGCTTATTATGTTATGTCACGAAAATCACATGTTGGTAAACTGGTCTAGTCACGGGTACTTCCATGCTACGCCAGCACTTGCACTCATGAGATCAAGATAGTGAAGAGTTTTAATATGTTTAATTTATTATAGTTTAATACTCATAGTTTTAATGGGGTATAGCTGTGAGCTTACACTCCTTTCAATATAGGTGGTTTTACTTTAAATTTGAAAGTTTAACTTATAATTAAACATTTATTTGTTATTTCAATTACAATAAATTATTAACATTTTAATTTTAGTAACTCCGACTTTGCCTACATTTTGAAATGTTGTACTATTTTGTTACCCACACCAAAGCAAACCTGCAGACTAAGGTATTTAAAGTTGCATAATTGTGTTTTAAATAAAATATTTGTTTTACGAAGTCATATGGATTCAATAAAAAAGTATTGTGTACTTAGGTTTGCTGCTGCGTGGAAGCGGGAAAATATTGTTTTCAACTGTCAAATTGTAAAGGATGAAATATGTAAAATTGTCAAATTTGATAAATCTATAGCATAGGCAACCAAGGAAAAACTACTCTTTTCTGTATTAGGCCTACCATGAGAAAAAATTACAATTTTATATGAACAGTTTTTTTTTTACTTATCCACAACCTTAAGTTGTACACCAGTTCTCCAAAATACAAAATTGTTAGTGGTGAAGTGAACTGAAAAAGGTAGTGGCAGGTACCAGGCTCCGAGCTTACGACATCGCTGCCTTGAGCCCGACGTCCGTGGCGCTACCGACTGAGCCACCGACTCACCTAAATCTCCCTGCACGAAAATAAATTAATCTAACTCAACCACAATATCATGCTTACAGTTGATAAAACATAAACATTTCATTTTTCTTTTAAATAATAATTTTGAAAAATACAGTTTTTTTGTTCTTTTTTGTTAAGGATAATCTTACAACTTAATTTTCTATAAGAGAAATTAGAGTGAAATCTCAAGGGGATTTTCCTCAAATATACTAATCTAAGATGCACATTAAGGGATATATATGCATCCGCAGTCAAAGTGGAGTATACAGGTGCATGGAGACATGGAGATGGAGATTGGGGGAGGGTAGTGTAGGAGAGAGAGGGAGGGAGATTGATCTGAGCCAAGACAACAAGAGGCAGGAGAGAGATGGAGAACTGTGAGAGGCAAGTCCGCTTCAACTCAGGAGCAGATCTGTTTTGAGAAATCATCTCGATCCCTCTACGACTAACAATACCACTTTTTGCACTGGAGCGGTCGTTGGAAGGCTTCACATTCTGTATTGAATCGTCCAAGATTATATTTTAGCTTTTTGTAATCTTACACATGAAAAAGGCTGGTTTGCCTTTCATAATGAAGCACAAAAAATTATAACTGAAGTTGTAATACGTAGCATTTAGTTTTGTTGTTTTGAATACCGTTATTCGTAGATTTCACATTTGTGTTAAATTAATTGAAAACTAAATAGGAATACGTTTATTGAATCTTGAAACATAAATTTACTCTTATACTGTTGACTAACAAGACATGCATTTAATCGTTAGTTGTGATGTATACCATATTGGACATTCAAATCATCATCAGACCCAATAGGAGAATGGTTGGATTCGATGATGATCATCTGCCTATTGGGTCTGATGATGATTGGAGTGTCTAATCGAAATCGATCACAACTTACTACCATCTGTTAAATGTATTTACCGCCTTGTGAGTCAACACTATAAGTGTATAAAATATGTTTCAAGGGTTATTAGACACACGTATAATGCTGAACAAGAAGTTATTTAGTTAAATTTAATTCATGGTATCAAACAGTGAATCGCCAAATAAACTTTTTACTATCATGAAAGCATTTCATGTTGACAAATTGACAAATTCAGTGTTTAAAAATTCGACATGTAGTGACTATAGTACAGTTGTCAATTTATAACCAAAAAGGGTCGGTTCTTAACAGGCTGTATGCTGAACTCATTTGACATTTTTAAATGGGAAATTAATGTTTATTTACATAAACCAGACAAAGTGAGATATTACATTTTGTATTATTATATAGATAGTACGGTACGTGTACCGACAGATTATAACGAATCAAACAAATAATTAAGACGGTTTTATAAAAACATCGTTTATTGTGTTTGCATATATAAAACGGACTACTAAAACCAACCTATAATCTATACCTATCTATGTATAACGTAGGCATATTAGTATATGGTATTACGTGAAAGCGCTAATAAATATTATTTTAGAAGTTTCCTTAGTACAAGTGTATTATTTCTTGTAAGGTTTTACAATCGCCTTTATTAAATTTTAACGTGTTATGAACTTCATTATTTTACAGGTTAAACAAGTTCATAATTGGTTCTCTCTTTGTTTTAGGTAAGCCCCAAAACAAGATGGATTCGTATGTTATCACAACATACCAAATAGTTGAAGCAAGTAAGTTGTTGTGAACCTTTTCTTTGACATGTAAGTACATTGCCGTAATTAAAACATATTTAGTAGAAAGTTTGCTTGTAAGGGTAGATTTTTTTTAATAAGCCAGTTAAGTATAGATATGATAGTTTAAACGTTTGCTATTGGTGGAAACACGTGGTATATATTTTTTTGTGTAAATATTTAAGACCCCTCAGAATTATATATTTACTTAAGTTGTTTGTAACGTATAACTTCAAATTGGAAATTGGACAGAGCTGTGCTCATAATGTCAACATCTCCTTTCCTCGTCGAATACTAAGTTTATCGAAGATTTGCGTTTTTTGAGAGATCGAAATTGGGGATGTGTATATGGCAAAAAATTCAAATTGGTTGTTATACTTTTTTTGTTTTCAAAGCTCGAAATTTTTTTATTTTTCATTATAGGGTGTTGATATTTTTCGCCTGAAAACAAAAAGTACGCCTAATATCACTTGTAATAATATATTTACACTCGTACTGTTGACTCACAATACGGTAAATAGATATAAAAAAGGTAAGTGGTGATAGATTTCGATAGGACACTCCAATCATCATTAGACCCAATTAGCGAATGGATGGTAAGTATTTTTACATGTTTTTGATTACTTAGACCATGGGAATTATTTTGGCCCAGAGAATAGCTTTTTTATTTTCAATTAGGCTAATGCTGATATTTGGTTTTGTAGTTTTTAAGTCAAACAACTGTTGATTTAAGGTGTATTAATGATGATATTCTTAAATTAACTGTTTGATCAAATGAAGAAAGTACGGGTTGTTTTTGTTTCCAAGAAAATAACTTTGTTTTATTTTTCAATAAGGTCAGTGTTGTACGTTTCGCAATATTCCGTTTTATATTTTGATAGTTAATACGATTTAAAAGTTCACAATAGGGCGTGTCAAATATATTGTTATCAGATACTATACTGGGGGGGGGGGTGTTCGTTTGGCCAAGAAAGAAACTTTACCAATTATTGGTGATATTTATTTACAGTTAAGGTATATTCTCCACGGTTGCCGGTTGCCGGTTGTCGGTTGTCGGTTGTCGGGGGGCAATGCACGGGTGCACGGTGGCGGGGTGGCGTAGGTGGCACATGCGCGTTGTGAAGGTGGCAGCGTGGCGGCGGCAGTGGTGGTGGAGTATAGTCAGTCGTGTCCGGGCATTGTTCGCGTCCGTACATCTACCCCTTCAGTCCCCTGCCCACGTGCTTACGGTAAACGGTACACGGCACACGCTTGGCATACTGTATAGTGCAGTGCAGTGGTAGTGGCAGTGATTAGCAGTGATGTGTAGTGATTTGTAGTGATACCGGGCACCACCAGTCACCCACGACCGTATGTACCTAGGGATGACAGAGTCTCAAATGGGATACTAACTAATATCGACCCATTTCTCTTATCGTAATTAATTAGTCTTTTACACGAGAGTAAATGTAGGTTTAATTCTGGCATCTGGTTGATTTGTTTAGTTTGGTTACGTTCCACCCCTTTTAAGTTTTTCAGTATTTTTATTTTTTTCACCTAATATACGTTAGGGTCATCAACAATATGTCTACATAAACAAAATCTACTTATACCAGTAATAATTCTTTAACTATAAAAATATTTACTAATAAAATTAAATTTGCATACTGAAAATAGGAAAAAATCATAGAACACAATAATTTACCTATACTAGTACAATCTTACCAAAGAATATCCATTAAAATCAAAGCCACGTTGCAAACAAAGAATTTAACCTAAAACGTGTCAGTGCCGGTGATATAAATACTTGCAGGGCCGAGTGTACTTTTATGATATAAACACATGTGTATAGTGTATAGCTGCCAGGTAGGTAATAACTATTGGCTGGGGTTTATGAGCTATGAGCTAGCAGCGAGTATAGAGAAACTAGGGGAGATCCATTTTCAAGGGCAATATCGAGGGGCATCCAACGCTCCCTCATTATGTAGCGGCGTTTCCGCATTTTCCCTTTTCGCTTTTGAAATACCTGTCTTTGTTTCACGAAATAAATTCCCAACTTTCTCGCCACCATATCGATGCAAAGAATTAACGTTGAATCGAAGTTAAATTAATTTTAATCATTCAGTTTTCCCGAGTATTATTTTCCTTCGTTTATTATTTGTTAGGATTTTCACTAAAATAGTTCCGCAGGGAAAGTCCTTTGAGAGGCCCGGCGTTAGACTATTTTAGTTCAAAATCAAGTAGGAAAATATATCTTCCTTTTAAAATGTAACAGCACGATTTTGTTTATTTCTCTCACTGGCACGGTTTTTACTTTCACTAGTTAAAATATTTGCATGCATAAAAAAACGTTCAAAATTAAGCTATATACACACCGAATTTAAACATTTAATAGATCATATTACCTTAATTAACACGCGTATTAATACCCCTCATATTCGACCGTAAATGTTTATCGCTTTAACAGTGTTATTACTTGTATATAAATAATACTTGTAATTAGCTATTGGTTGATTATAATTTTAATGCATTGATAGAGATGATTTAAATTCTGAAACATTATTGCATAAAATATCGTGTATTTGAAATACATATTTTCTATTTCCTAACTTTGAGTCTTGTTCTAGTACATAACAAGATATTCTTATTAACCAACATCTTAAACCACTCGATATATCATGATTACTAACAACCTTCACATAATTATTATTATATTTATGTATTAAAATACGATGGAGGTTATATAAAATAGTTAAATTAATTTATAACACAGTATACATTTTATTAAAACTAGTTACTACGTATATAGCGGATTTATTATTAATCCTAATTTAACGAAATGTACACTTTTTGGTACAAACCAAAACAAAAATATAATAGGATAGGTATGTTTAGATCAAAACAAAGAGTTACAATATATTTAATGGTATCGTACGACTTAAATATTGTAACCACTTTTTCGTAGCCGACGGCCGGAGATGAGTTCAGTAAAGACTGTATCAATAATATCTTACTAATATTATATAGATGTTGTCGTAGAGCTCTGTACAAGTAATTTTGTCGGTAAACAGTATTTACTAAGACAATGTTTTACAACTTTAGTGAATGAATGGATCATTAACTAGTTTTTTAACAGTACATGTCACACACGTGATTGGAATTGTGAAGATTCATGCTTATGACTCTTAATCCATATTTAGAAAACTAACCCTCAAAATATTATTTATAGTAGTTTGACATGAGTTTTCATACATGTAGTCAATAATAACCAAAACAGAAACATAAAACAAATTACTTTTATTTTCTAGCGTACATTAAAGTCATTAGCCTAAATATACAGAGGTTTTTTCCTTACTTTAATTATTTTACATAAAATTACTTAAGCCATATTTAAAATTTATTGCTTTGAAGGTAACATAATTTACATTGGATCATTTTATACTAAATGCCAAATATTTAATGAATAATTTAAATACGTTGTCATTAATTTTTTTTTCTAATTAAGGAAAATTGTTTGTAATTTATGCTATTTCCATGTATTCGTTTTAATTTCTTTAACAATCGAAAATGTATAGTTTTATACCCAAATTTATAAAAAATGTTGAACTAAAAGTTAATAAAACCAAAGTTATTTACGTTTGCTAATTCAATTAACTAATTTAAGTCTAGAAAGAGTGTTGAAGATTAAAATATTTCACCGGAGGAATACACGGAATTTTTCTCTAAGACAGACACATGAAAATATTTCATTAGTTATAATAAACCAACTCCTAGAGTCTTGCCTTGTCAAATCACCAGAGAAAAGAGATCAAAAAGAAATGTTTGTAATCCTAATTTAAGAAAGTAAGTTAGAATGCGACTAACAATTTGTAATGTTATCAGCATTAAATTAACTATATTTAGTTATGCTTACGTTTATTAGTTTTCCAACGGCTTCAAAACAGTAGTAAAATTAGAAATTTCCATTAAAAAGTGCTAAAGGAAGTAAAATGAAAAGAAAGAGTTTGAAATCCCAAAGCCCAGCGCATGGTCTGATAACATTATTTATACACGTTCGTGTCTTCGGTCCTAACTATTTTCCCTTTTACCAGAGGGGTTTTTATATTTATAAAATATAGCTTCAATTTCTACCTACTACCGATCTTTTCATAACTTATACATATATTTATTTGCAATCCCAAGCTTATACTTAGTTGTAATAATCGCAAAAGTCAAATTTAGAAAACCTATTTATTGAAAAAATTAATCGAATTACCAAATCATCAAGAAAATTGAATTTAAATGTGTTATTTAGTGTTTGGAAATTTTAAAATAAGTAATTTCAACATAATTACATATCTTATTAAATATAAACATATTTATTGCTAGTTCCCCCACATTTACGGCTATAACAATTATTTCTTACCTCTTAACGTAATACATATTTGTGTCTGTACACCACGTAATACTAATTGTTTTTTTGTTAATGAGTAGAACCAATGAAATAAATATTAAAATGACCACAAACTAACCATTATTACCATTATTTTTATTATTGTAATTCATTTTATACCATAATAAGAACATACAGAACATTCTGCGATTGAAATATATATTCGCCGGTTTCTCACAACTCTGTATCTTTTTTACATTCTTCTTTGTTAAGGGGTTTATAGGTAATGTTAAAATTTTAAATGCCATTCATTTATTTAAATTTCATATCTTGTTATATAAATTGAATTGGATAGTGCATAAGCATTAAGAAGCATAGTTTCGGTTTTTTGTCAGTAGATATTTTATCTAGATTATACAAGGCTGAAGATGTAAGTTGAATTTAAAATAATTCAGTTTTGTTTGGAAAAACTAAAAATTATTTATTTGTATTGACATAAAAATAATAAAATTAGAAATATTGTTGCAATTTATAGAGTAAGTTAATGAAACATACGTATATAACGCGTTAACGTTATAATCATTTTACTCATTTTTTCATAACATATATTTTTTCTCTTTTCGGTATTGCACTTAGTTTTAAGATAAATATGTATTTATCGTCCTAAAGGTAATGTTTTTCTGTTCGAATCATAGTTAATTATTTGTTATTCTTTAATGTAATTGGAGTTTGTAATTCATTAGTTTAAATTAATTTTTTTGTTATTGTTAATATTTATTTCACATAAATTAGGAAGTAAAAATCCGAAAGTTAGATTGAAAATATATGGGTAACATGAAAGATTATTTTTTAAATTTATTAATTACATATTTATTTTATTATTTATTTTTAAAATATGTAAAATTATGCGTAGAAGACATACATAGTTTATTTATACTGTAATATGTTGCTGTACAAGCACAGTAATTTTAATATTTTAAAAGTTATATTAGGAAGTATTTAACAATCTTTTTTTATGAAAAGAAAACGTAGCAATGGCATAAGCAGTTAATTTATTGTTGAGCATTATTAAAAAAAGAACTATGGGTTAGTAATAATCGTAAATTTAAATTTGGTCAAAAATATTAGATCTAATAGGGTAAATTTTAACGACCTATACATTTAAAGATCGTATTAATGATCGCTGATATTGGGAGGACAAAAATTATACCAGTTCTTAGAACAGTTGTACATCAAACTTGATACGGATATTAAAAGCTTGTTTTAATTATTTATACTTTGAAAATAAACCCTTATTTAAATACATATCATATACACTCAAAAATATTAATTATTAATAAATATTAAAATATTTATTATATAAATCAAAATATTAAGCTTTTATTCACAATTAGAGTAAAAATAAATAGTTTTTTTAGCCAAAAAAGTAAAAAAAATACATTTTAGTGTAGAGTGTATTTACCTGAAAAGGAATACTGCATTTAGGGAAGGATCAAAACAATATACGGTAGGAATTATAAGACTAACCTTCCGAATGAAATGTTGTATTACTAACATGCTGGTTTCATGTATGAAATAGTTTTAAAATAGCTAATTTGTTTGGTTTTCAGTTACCTTTTATAGTAAAGAAAGTGAAACCATGTCCCGAGTTTTGTTGTTATCTTAATAACCTATATTGCATGGTTAATATTAGCAATTACTTTCTCTAGAATAATTAAACAATTCCTAAATACGAGTATTATTGAACTAAATTATGACATTTTACGTTTTTACATTGCGTAGACAAAAATAAATCAATATTGACCAATAGTAAAATAAAATTACTAATCTTTGGTTTGGAATTGTAAAATCATGAACACTTTACCTATATGTAAGAAGTATGTGGTAAGAACTTTTAAATAAAGCTATTGCTATAAAATTCTTGTTACATTTTGTTCGTATATAGATTTCTTTTGTATACAGTAAATATCAGCGTAGTTAAACTAAAAGAAAATCATAT